TTCAACATAAACTAAAGATTTGGATTTCAACAACAAAAATCGAATACACATGAGATTTAGATTTCAACATGAACTAAGAAAATCGCAAATATTTTGTTAAACAATAAACTTTTAGTGAATTGCTAAACGCAACTTGATTTTCTTCGTGCCGCTTGTAAAAATACTCAAATATCCCTGAACCTTAAATCTTCTTACATTTCACTTTTTATACAATTGTCTTTCTTTTTATCATTTATACAAATTCTTTCAAACATACAGTCAAAACATTCACTAATTATTGATAGTCTGCAATGGTGGAGAACTTAAGAATATGAAAAATAGGAAAAAATGAGGCTTTGACGTCCCAACAAGTAATTGTTTGGGAGAATTATTTGCAATAAGGCACACTTGTTAATCGATCTTCTCTTTTAACTCTCTGCCTTTCGTTTCTTTTCAAAATAAAGCAAGTTCAAGAATGCAAGAAATTAATATCTAACGAAGAAATAAATGTACCTATGATCAAATTGAAATGCCTTTCGTTTTTTATTTTTGGATTTTGGTATTACTTTGATTTGGATTCTTTATATTAAATTTAATTACATTTAATAGTTAGTTTTATGTTAGTATTTTTCAGTTTTATGTTCGCATTTTAAATATCTATGAAGAGAGTATTTTCATATTTTTTACAATTTGCGCGAAGTAAAATCAAGTTGTGTTTAGCGAACCCATTTTTAAAGAGAGAAAACAAACCAAACTCTGCAGCAAGAGCTCCATTTCTACAAAAAGAAAAATGGATTCCCGTATCAGAAATATCAAGAAAACCATGAAAGGATGAAACTTACTTACCTATTTATTGTTTTCCTATTTTTTGTTTTTCTGACAAATGCAAATCTAGTTAAACTAACAGAGAGGCCAAAAGATCATACAAGGTTTAATTAACTATATCCTTCATAATAATAGGAAAAAAGTGCCAAATTGACAACAAAATATACTCCATAATTACTAATAGCCACATAAGGAAATTACATTCATACCAATCACACATGAATGCCAGCCTAATCTAATCTCAGATGTTAAAATTTCCATTTGGAACATACAGAAACAAAAAATATCATTTTCATGGAACAAAAATGGTTGAACGTTTTAGCAATTTACCATCCTATCAGTATCCATGCGAAGAAGATCAATATCCAATAGTGTTGTTCGTCGATTTTATTTTTCTTCAGAGCAGGCCAGCCATAGGAGGGGAGAAAGAAAACGAGGACAAAGAGCAAAGAAAGAGAGAGAGAGAGAGAGAGAGAGAGAGAGAGAGAGAGAGAGAGAGAAGAAGAAGAAGAAGAAGAAGAAGAAGAAGAAGAAGAAGAAGAAGAAGAAGAAAAGTGAAATGTGGACTTCACGGATCAAAAAGCAAAGGGAGATGCGGCGAGACAAAAAAAAAAAAAAAAGACCAAACATCCAATGTCATTGTAGAAATCTTTTTACTTTTGTTATTAGGATTTTAGGATTGAAAAAGTTGTCTAGGTGAGATGAACCCAAAATGATGGTTTTGGTAGGTAATGGATGATTTTTTGGAGCTAATGATGGGCTACTCACATGTAAAAATCAAGGAGCGAGGTGGAGGAAAAAAAAATCAGTGATGTGACAAGACACGATTAGTCGAAAATACCACCGGAAGAGGTACTATTTAAGACCAAAACCGGGACAACTCAAAGAAAATTGATGCTACAGCCTACAATTAAGGGTATTTACTGTCACTTAGCCACCAACTGATTGAAATGCTCATAAATATTCACATTATTTACACACTTTACCAATCAAATTTCATAACTTCCATTGCTACAGTTAAGTGCATTCACGGCCATTTTCACCCAAAACACACACTAACCCACCTTTTCGCTCACACAACCACCAGGCCTTTATATTATAGGTGAACAAGTAAATGGGAGAATGTGATCTTTGATTGAGAGTGTGTGAGAGAAGGCTTGGACTAGGGAAGTTTAATGACATACATCAGAAGTCAGGATTTTTGTTACTCAAAAGAGAAATAACAAAAATACAACATCATTAGGTGAAAAGATATCCACAGTATAATGTCATACATAAACTAGTACGATTATTAATTTTCTCATTCATTCACAACTTGGTAAAATATACTCCATCTGTCCCAAAAAATTAGAACAAATATCAAAACTTAATGTCGACTATTTTTTTGGACAGAGAGATTAATGTTACATAAGTGTTTTATTATCATATTCTAGTACGAACATTTAACTTTTTTATTCATTAACAATTTTAGTTTGACTAAAACCTTAAATCTTTTTTTAAGGGGCACTAGTTTGAATCCCGTGCTTTGCACGGATTCTATTATATCCTTCGCAAAAATTTCAAAATTTTATACGAAGAACAATATTATTTGGATAGTACTTTTTCTATCCTACAAAAATTTGATAGGAAATTGGCTCGGTTAGTCAACCGTCGACCAGTGGGGTAATGGTAGATGAAAATTATATAAAAAATAATATTTAAGGTAGATTTTAAACTATAAGTTAAAATATTATTTGGATAGTACTTTTTCTGTCCCACAAAAAAGTCACATTGTAACTTGTAAATTTATACTTTTAATAAAACTCGTAATTTATATTGTGGATAATTTTTTTGCAATGGATGACATATTTATTTTGTTTCAAATTTTAGATTTAACAGGAAATCCAAAGTAATTTTGGTTTTAGATACTAGCTAAATAGGGCCAAATTTCAAGATTATTTTGGTAATATAATAGAGTGTTGTGTGCTATGAACTACAAATGAGTTAGTGCTTGTATGGACAACCCTTTATTTTAGTTTTTGGTTTGGTTTTTGGTTTGAGTTTAGATATGATTTAAAATGTGATTTGAGAGTAAATTTAAAAGTTGTATGGATAATAAAATAATATTATAGATAATATTAAGGAGACGATGTAGCTGATGAGCGTTATTTATCAACTCAACTTAGACCTTTTGCCAGAAACTTTTTTCCAAAATTTGATCGAGTCCTCAGTTAACTGGAACAAGATGGAAATTTTCTTAAACACCAGTTCATGTATGTCTGTGATACCAATGTTGCTTGTTAATAAAAGTAGAGGTATAGGTACATGATGAAATTCATATGTTCTCAACTATAATCCTTAATAAAGAACAGAAATTCAATAAAGAATCTAGGATGATGATAAAAGAAGTCAAGACTTATGGATAGCAAATAAAGATAATTTGAATCATGTACAAAATAAAAATATATATTTGGTTTGACTTAGATTAATTCACGAGATAACAATAAAAAAAATAATAATCTCCCTTTGAGTTGAATGAATAAGACTCACCGATGAAAGTATGGCCCAATTAGAAAATTTTATAATATATTTAATTTGTGAATAAGTCTTCACAATTTATGCCATACAAGAAATATAAGTCAAAGTAGTTTTCATAATAACGAATATGAAACAAGAGTCAAAGTAACTTCAGGTAAAAACCAAACTGAAAAAAGTCATAAATCTGAAATTTTTTTTATAATGCCAGGGGTGGACAACTTAAAAGGTACGTTGAAAAGACAAGCTTTTGTCAAAAAAAGAAGAAGAATAAGAAGAAGAGGATGAAGAGATAAACTCATCTAGTTTAGAGAATGGAGATAGTTTGGGGGTTGAGATGTATAGAATTTTGTTTGGGCTACGAATTTGTGAGCACTTGAACTTGTCTCAAGTTTTAGTGAAAATATAGATAATAATATCTTGGCAAATCTTTTGATTAAAAATGAAGAATTTCCATGGTCATATACTTTCAGATGGAGGGGATTTCCATGGTGAAGCTTACTCAATTGTTCATATTTATAGGGAAACAAACTCGGTAGCTGACAGTTTGGCATGACTAGCATCACGTGGATGTTTTAAGATCTTTGAACATTTAGTTGTTTAACCAAAAGCGGAATAAGGACTCTTGATGCTTTATCAAGTGTCTTTTCTATATTTGTGTAGCCGATTAGACTAGTTTTTCATATGTGCAAAATGTTTCAGGGTTTCTTGTGTGCATTGCCATTGTAAATTTTATTTTATGTGGTAATAATGTTGGAAGACATGGCCGCTAGGTAATGCCCTGGTTAAACCAAACAAAAAACAAACTCATCTAGTTGTCTTGAATCCTATCTCTAAGACTTTCCATTTTTTTTTCAAAATCCCAAGTCATTCTCCTTCACTCCACACACACCACAAAGCCATTCCAAGTCAATCTCATTTGAACTTTTGTTGTAAATTCCCTGTCAAAGAACTAAAGATTACAGCGGGATGCCCAAGTGAAAATGCTAATTATCATTTGTAAACTTGAATTGTCTATATTGCTACACCAACTTTCTGATAGTAGTTTTGTCTTTTTAGCCATTCAATTTTTCCCCAGTAGCGGCGAAAAACATGATAGGAAGCCCAAATGACGCTACTTTTGAGCATATTTGCAATCTCCTTAATCCCCAAATGACAATCTTAACAGAGCCTCTATGCTATGAAACCTTTCTGCTTCCTAGTTAAAAGGGTGGAAAATTGACAAAAAGATTGAAACATAATGAAAAAAAAACCTCTCGTTCGTCAAATAAACCACTTACAGCCATACAACTAGTGGAAAAGGTGAAAAGAAGGGTAAAGAATCTATGTATTAATGTGGCATTGAAGTTGACTTCATCCTTGTCTTCTATGATGAGAAGTTTCCCTTGCATGTATCTTATCAATACCTTTACTTGACTAGCAATTGTTTTGACATCATTTGCATGATGTTGGAAATCAAACTCAGTAAGAAGAGACATTAACGAAGATATATACATTGACCTTGCTTGCTCTGCATCCATGTGCATTTTTGCAATACGTTTTTCCAACACAAACTTCTCATAACGTGTTTGCGCTTCCATAACTGAACATTCAGATAGATGGTTTCTTAGCCAGAAAATCTCTTTTTCATGCTTTTGTATCTTCTGCACAAGATCCTCTGAATTTGCTTCATCCATTGTTATCTATGGACTCAATTCTCCAACAGAGATATACCTGCTGAGAAATGATGGGGAAAGGGATAACTGTTCCAACTTCTTGACTGGCATAGCCTCCTCCTCCATTTTTCTCTTCTTCTTCCCCTTAGGATTCTCTGCACCATCATCAAGAAATAACACTCCGGCCACACACTTCATTACTTCTATGGTGGCCAGTATATCTGGGATTGCAGGATACTCTTGTTTGCCTAAATCAAAATGAACCATGATTTGTTTTAAGGACAAAAGAAACGGTCGCTTAGTGCTGTTCTTGACAGGAGAAAACCTCCTTCTGAAAAGCTCAAGGACTTCTATGATACTATCCGGAACTGGGATTGATACACTAGCCCTACAAAACACATTGCCAATCAAATTGCAATCAGCATTAAGTAGATTGAAACCCGCCCACACCTTACGATCGAGTAACTTGTGGATATCTTTGCAGTCTTCCTTTTCTTCAGGACTCTTGAATCCAATAATGCTTCTCTTAAACTCCTCACAGTTCTGAAATTTTTTCAAATGATCGTATTCTCTCGGTGCATCAAAAAACCACTTCATTGGATTCCCTATGGGTACAAGGGAGCTATGAGATACGATGACTATACCTAATTCCACCAGATAAGATTGTTGATTTTCCTTCACGTATTTACTCCACTCCATGTCGATAAACACCACAATGTTGTCGGTATCCATTGAATGCTTCTTCTCGAGTCTACTCCTAACCTCACTCTCTGGCGACTCTCTCCGGTGATTTGTCAACAGCGATTTGGTTGGAAATTGTCCAAAACGAAAATCCTAATCGGCAGGAGCCAAATTAGGTCGATTTAGGACAATCGTAAAGATCTCTACGAGTGTCTATTTTTAGTTAAATAATACCAAATTTCTTAACTAACAAGAAACTTACCTAGACCCTATATAGGACTTAAAATGTACATGATAAGCAAGTTAAAAATTTATTATAAAACTCAAGTATAAACACATAATCATGTGAAAAGATAATATGACAAGTGAACTAATAAGACTTGTTGATATAGTATTGTTCTTTGAGTACAAATAAAACATTATCCATGTTGTAGAGGTTGAAGGCATCAACTTGTGGGCTCCTCAATCTTTTAGGAAAAAGTTATTTTATCCTCCTAACAGTAGAAGTGGATTTTGGCTTCTAACATTTAGGAGTGATTGTTGTATTTGTGCGGAACCCTAATTGGGTTGGATTGGTGCCTTGTAGAGTTAAGGTGTTGTGTCCTTGAGATGAGCTAAACACATCTTGTGGTAGCACTTGTAACAAATTAACAATCTTGTGCTTACAATCTTTGATTTTAAATAACATGGGCAATGGTTTAAGACAAGTGCACCTTTTATCCTCTTGGATATTATTTGAGTGATAAAACCCACAATGTGAGTTTATGGATCCATTATGTAAGGGTTTGTCAAAGCATTATTTATCACGTCTTTGCCTTAAACCAAGCTCCCGCATCACCATTCTTATATGTGTTGTAATCCTTTCCATATGTGACACTCCAATTGTTTTCTTTTTTAATTGCTACATTTTACCTCATTATAAAGTTCGAACCATTTCAATACTTTCTACCTGGATAGTGTTTCATAATGACCAAAGTTTCTAATTGAAACTTAAACTATCCAATAGCACAAGAAGCCCAAGCATAAGACCTATTTTTGATTAAGTTGGTTTTTTTATTTGAAGGTTCATGTCAATTTGTTCAAATTAACGTTGACTTTTGTTCAAGAAATAATTATTTTCTTGACACTATTTCACTCAAAGAATACAATGGTGATGTTATTCAACCTTTTTTTTTAAAACTCCATTCAGCTTTGTATTGCACAAATATTAGTTCATACACGAACAACTACACCACCAAAGCTACTCAGAGATGATATCTATACAACCATTAGACTAACAAAAAGATCTCTTGTATTAAAAAAAATTATCACAATATATCATGTGAACAAACAAAATTTCAACTAAGTGAAATAAAACTTCTATACAACATAGATAAGCTCAGACTATCAGTTCATCATCTGCAATCTAGCCATCTCACAATATATCATTAGCCATCTCATTTCTGGTAGGGTATATATTCGTTACAATTTGCTACCCAAGCCTTAAAATAAGCTGCCTTCAACTCAACATTCTCCTCCTTCAAGTTATTCAGCATTCTGGATACTCTATCGAGCTATCTCCAAAGCTGTTGCGAGTTCTCTTATTCTAGCCTCATCTGCATTTTCTTTCCCCTTTTGATCATTGAAATGTTGTTCGACTATTTTCAAAGTTGTTGTAAGTTCTGTTATAGTATCCTTATATGCCCTTTCTTTCTTCCTTTGATCATTGATGTGAGATCCTACTCCGTTGTACCACTCTGCTTAGAATCGAGCAGGGATATTGCTACGTCAACTTTGTTTAATCAATAGATACAAATAAACTTTTAGCTCAATTGTAAATCCTAATAAATTAATTTGAAAGAAAAAAATAAAGCATAAGCCAAAATTATACTACATTGCTAACTCACTATTCTTTAATTTCGGCTAGCTCAATTAAATTAGTGAACCAATATTATTCTCCTGTGTTAAACTAAGTCGTCCATGTTCCGTCTTCTTGTGTCACTGGGAAATACTTAAAAATCAATTTTATTAATGCCTCTCCCAACCGACTTAAAGAAAAATCTGACCCCAAAATGATTCAAGGAAATTTCTTTACTCTTTTACTTTCCAGAATCTTTGCTCTATTTCATCTTTATCAATAAACGTATTACTTCACCCACTCCATTCTAATCTTCATTCAATATCCCCTTGACCGAAACTAGCACTACCAGTCCTCCTTCCGATTCTTTCCTCAACGACCACCGAGCTTCCACCCATTTCCTTTTCTCCGCCAACTATCACCTCCACCATTCCTTGATTTTGTTATGCCCGAAACTTACCAGCCATCGTTCCTATCAATTTTTCCCTCCATCATCTACCTTCTTTCTTCCTTTTAATTCCCTTCATCCAAAAACAACGGTTTCCCCAAGATTCCTCCTAAAGTATGATCGACTAGAGGCTAGAAGAGAAGGGCAGCAACTCAGTGAAATTAAGGGGAATAGCTCAAGGTGGAAGAAGGTGTGATAGGTGGGATTTTTAAAGATCATCCGAGCAGTTGCTACCCACTCCGAGTCGAAATCCTTTCTAAGTAAGTAACTTATGTTGTCCCTATTTTTAATTCTAGAATTCGAGATGTAAATGGAAAGGGTGATAAGTAGATAGATGGTTGTGGAATAGGATTTGCTACGCCTAATTGTTAGAACAAGACTGGTGCTTAATCAACTTAATTAAAGAAGGGAACTATATGAATATATGGGCAGCCAGTTTAATAGATAGTACCTCACCATGAGATGCGTGGGAATTATTGTTAGGAAATCATCAAAGTAGATTGAGAAGGAAGCTAGAGCCGATAGACATAGCTCATAAGCCAGGTGAGTGTTCTCGCTATTTTCTTTATAAAAGTGATATTGTTCCTTTCTTCCTCTTGCAAAGTGTTTTCTCTGTTCACTTCACAAGTGTTATTGGACATCACTGGCTACTTTTAGTTTTGGGGTTTCTTCTTTTATAAGTGCTTTGGTGGAATGTTTACAGTTCAATAGAAAAGATGACTCACCGGTTCTTATTAGCTCAAGTTTTTTACTTTCTGAAATGCTTTTCTTAAATAAAGCCAAGTTCTACGTGATGAGCCATTGTGTTCCTTTTAGCAACGAATTTTACCTTTATAAACTAAACAAGGATTGCTTGCATCCTTCATGTTATACCCTACTGATTATGTATCAAAAAGCTCTCCTCATTCTTCATAATAAATATTTGCTTATCTTTACAAACTTTGGACTGAAATCCAGTTCCTTTTAGGTGAATGAATGACCTTTTGAAAATTTTCATTTGTCTTACGATTTTTGCTCGAGCCTTGTTTAATCTAAAATATTTCATCTAAAATACCTAGACTACTTTATTCTTTTTGTTCTAGTGAACAAGCCCTAGATGAGCTTCCTTTTCTTTAACTTTCTGATAATTTATTAAAGGGATTTGATATCGTATTGTCAATCTGATCTTTACTTTGCACTTAACAAAATAATTCCCGTTAAAGGTTTGACCAAACTCTTATCAATTGTCTTCATATCGTGAACGGTTATATACTGTCTTAATCGTTACTCCCGTGCACGTGGTCTCTCTCTTTGATTCTCCCCGAGTTTCCGGAACCTAAAACAGCTTATATGCTTTCCGGAACTAGCTTCGCTCGGTGGTTGAATCTCTTGTGATTTACCTCGAGTTTACGAAACCTCAATTGACTTATGAGCTATTTCGTAACTAGCATCATTTGATGGCTAAATCTCATTATCGTTATCGTTATTGAATGATCGTGTTACGTGTACTTGTACCGTTACTCGAGATATGGTCAAACACTTTTTATTTTTTGGTTTAAACGTTATCTAGTGATTTGTTGCTATTTTGGGCTATTCTCAGCTCACTTGAATAAATTGATCACTTTATTTACTGTTGGAAATTGTTCACATGCTTTCTTGCATTTTGATTGGTTTTGCTAATATATTCTCTTAAACTTGAGGACACTCACGGGCTATAAAACGTATAGCTCACCCGTACTATTTTTACTTATATTTTACAGGAATAGAAACCAGTGAGAATGAGATGATCGTCTTGTGGATTTAGTTGGACCTCAAGCTGTGATGGTTTAGTTTAGTGTTCTAGTTGATTTGATTAAGGATGAGACTTGTAATAATTTAGAAACTTTTGTGCTGTAAAGTACGAAATTGAATAATTTAAGATGATAATGTTAGTTCAGTCTTTTGAATTTATTAAGGAGGATTCAGTAATTACTACTTGAGTCCTGACGCGAGCTAGGCAGGCGGTGCAATCCGGCCCTCACCGTTATGTTTTTAGTAGGTGCCGGGTTGGGTCATCACGATTGACATTCTTGGTCCATATGTCACGGGCTTACTTTTTCAAAGTAACGGCCGTGCGGCACTAGCACAAAACAACTAATGATCAAGTGCTAGTTCAGCCTTAAGACCCCCAAAGCGTGCAAAGCTAGGCAAGACTTTAAAGAACGGAGGCAAAGAAAAACTTAAGAAAGGTTGAAAGTGAAAGAACCATGAAGGCACAAGAGAGCTTAAGGAATGCTTGAGAACTCTACTCAAAGCTTGGATGGATTACAAATGAAGGGGGCATGGGGTATTTATAGGCAAACCCCAAGTCCCAAAGAATTCTAGAGAATTCTATGTACATAATAAAATAATGGAATTCTAGAGAATTCCTACCATAAAATATTCTAAGTCCAAAATATCTACAAGTCTCTAGAATCCTCCACACAGTTCTAGCAAACTCGGGTAGCTTCCACACGGTTTCACCCGCTTCTAGAGAGTTCTAGGCCTTTCTAGAGAATTCCAGAGTTTTCAAGATTTGACCGGAGAATTCCACAAGACTCTAGACCGTTCCATCCCATGTCCGTCTACGAAAATAGCCTGTTTCGCAGCAAACCACCCGAATTCGTGGGGGAAGAAAAACTGTCCGTGACATCCTCCCCCACCAAAACGGTGCATCGCCCCGGTGCACCTAAGTCTCGAAGGCAATGTTGATAGGAACGAGTTCACGATTCTCCTCAAAGTCCTCGATCAATTTGGTGAATTGCCAAA